ATATTTCGTGTGAACCGCGAAACGGCGAAAGCTTGGGTTCTAATGTAAATAAATATGGCGGATTTTGAAAATATAGAGCATTTGCATATATGTAAATGTTTTATGGATACAGAAGCAAGATATTGAACAGTTCAGGTGCCGTACACTTTATTTGAACTGCTATTTAGATAGAATACCATTGTTGTCGAATTGAATTTGTCCTAAAGCCCGTGATCAAATCATCGATTGTTGTCGTTACAACAGCTTTGGCAAATTAGTGCGAATAACGGCTTATGTTCTACGATTTGTCAGAAACTTGCGATGCTCAGTTGAAAAGAAAAGCGAAAAAAAAGCGAACGATTTGACTCCCAGTGAACTTGATGAAGCAGAGAACTGTTTGATTAAGAATATCCAAGCAAAGTCGTTTAGTAAAGGAATCCAGTTCCTGAAAGAGAACATGAAAACAACTCCCCCAATTTACGTGACGCCATTTGGATTATATTTAGACAGCGATGGAATTCTTAGATGCAAAGGACGGTTGAATATTATTATTTATTATTATTAAAGTCTTTATTGTCTAGAGTCACAACAGACGTGCAACTTTACAAATGTCAAATTCCTAATTATTACAGTTAAAATATTGATCTATCCTAATTAATTATATGAAAGTTAAAAATAGTTAAAAAGACATCTATTTATAAAGGATCGTTTAAATCGTTCCGTTTTAATTTGAGGTAAAATAAAGTTATGTTCCGTTTGTCCTAAAATCCTTTGTTTACACACAGAAAGCAATTCATGTAGGGCATGTACTGGATTCGATACGATTTTGCTAAATAATTTTCTGGCTCTCTCCTGGATCACTTCAGATATCTGAATACTCTTTGTCGTATATCCATAACGATAAGATCCGCCGGAAAAACTTGTCTATACGATCCAAATATTTCTTTTGCAGTGCAGAGCCCCACACTTCAATGCAATAGTAAAAGAGTGACATGATTAGCGAATCGAATAATTTGCTTAGCTTATCTGCAGAGTAACCATAGCATCTACACACTCTCAATATGTACATACGCCCACTAGCCTTCGACAGAAGATCATCAATATGAAGATCCCAGCAACATGGATTTTCCTGAAATGTTACACCTAGTAATTTCAACCAGCTCTTTCGTTCAATGCCTACAATCGGTGCCGGTAACGGTTTCATAGACCCACCGTGCACAACTATTTCACACGTTTTAGAAAGATTTAATGTCATTTGATTTGCTTCCGACCAATTCTTGAATGATTTCCACCTCAGCCTCAGCAGAATCCGATCCTGATTTTACTGGAGCACTTGTCGTTATATCATCAGCAAATTTAACCAATAGGTTGTTTTGCGCATCCATGGGTTTTATATCATTAACCATCAACGAAAATAGAAAGGGACCCAAAACCGTACCTTGGGGTACGCCTTTGTTAATATCAACATAAACAGTTTCTATGCCATCAACAACAACTCTTTGTTTTCTGTTGGCCAGAAAACTAATAATCCAGTTTATAGTATACGGGTTAATTTCGAGTGTTTTCAATTTTTCACAAATAATGTTATGAGATACCGAGTCAAACGCTTTCTTATAGTCAAATGATATTACCCTAACAGAGTCTGCACCTTCATCCAGCCACTTGAGCCAATGATGCAAACACATAGTCAGAGCAACGGTAGTATTTGTTCCCTCTTTATAAGCAAATTGATCTCGTCCGATCACGGATTCGAATGCAGACGCAATCTCCTGTTTATAAACTACCCTTTCAAATAATCTCATAATGATGTTTGTGAGCGATTAGGCCTCAACTGATTACACTCTGTCAAAGGAGATTCTTTGGGTAAAGGGTTCACATTGGCGAGCTTCCACATCAGAGGGACACATTGTTGTTCTATTTAGAGATTGAACACTTTGGTAATTATGGGCGCTAAAAGTTGTGCAAAGTCTTTTCATAACCAATATGGAAGCCCATGAGGACCTGGCGCTGTATCGCCCTAACACGCTGTAACGCCCTTTATCGGACAGTTCCAAGAATCCAATTATTTTGCCGTCAAAACATCATTTTATCGATCTCATAGTCAAGGATGTACACGAACAAGCATACCACAGTGGAATAAACACTACAATTTCTAGGGTATTAAAGAGAAAGATATTGGATAATGCGAGGACGAGAGACGTTAAAACGGAACTTAAATTCGTGTGTTCTGTCGCCTACAAACCAAGAAATTTACCCGACTTACCAAAATCAAGAGTATCCGAAGACCCACCGTTTTCGCATTCCGGTGTCGACGTCGCTGGCCCACTTTACTTACGTCAAGAGAACAGAGCGCAGAACCAAAAGACCATTTACAAAGCTTACGTTTGCCTGTTCACCTGCGCCTCGACGCGAGCAATACATTTGGAATTAACAACAAGTTTGAGCGTGGAAGCTTTCTTTATGGCATTTCGTCGATTCTCTGCGAGAAGAGGACTGCCCTCGATCATTACGTCAGACAATGCGAAGACATTTAAAAGTGCGTCTAACAGATTCAACGATTCACACGGTCTAGTGTTCTGCGTGATTATATGATCAATTATCGAATATCCTGGCAATTTATTGCACCTAAAGCTCCTTGGTGTGGGGAGGATATTGGGAGAGAATGGTAAAGATGGTGAAACAAGCACTCAAGAAAATATTAGGCAGATCAACACTCAGTTACGACGAAATGAATACTGTATTAGTTGAAGTGGAACGAGTTATCAATTCTCGGCCCATAACGTATATTTATGATAACAGAGAAGCTATATGTTATGCCCTCACTCCTTCTCATTTGATCAACGGAAGGTCGATCTCAACGATTCTAAGCAGTCAACATTACGATGTAATAAGTACAAATCAAACCCTCACAAGAAGATCGCGCCATCACCGACGTTTACTACAACAATTTCGTCAAAGATCGAAACGAGATTACCTTTTGAGTTGAATAATAAAGTGAAGTCCAGACACGATAGGAGACATCGTTATACTCAAGAACGATTCAACTTCAAGGAATTTATGGAAATTAGCCAAGATCGAAGAATTACTATCTGGAAGAGATGGAACAATAAGATCTGCTGTTGTGAAAGTGGCTAACGACACAAGAAACCCCGTTTTGTTAAAGAGAGTCATACAACAACTTATTCCCATCGAAGTGCGATCCGACGAAGCAACAATAGTGGACGAAGGTGAAGAAGAAAAGAACGAGACTACGACTGGCAATGAAGAGAAACTGAATCATCGACCACGTCGAACAACTGCCATCGCAGGAGAAGAAAGAAGGAGATCTTCAAATATGAAGTAACTTTAATATGTGACTCTTAACATTTTATATTTCTGTTTATTATCGAATTGCACTACAAGAGAAAGTATAGGGATATAGGAACTGAAACAGTTATGTGAACTTTGATCACCAAAGGTGATCAACCTCGAGCAGTGCAATAAATGTTTAATATATTAATATACTAACCGGAAATATTAACATATTTGTTGACATTTTATAGCTTGCGCTACTAACCACACCTTAAACTTGACATGTAATATAAGTTGTTCTTCGTAATATATATTTATAGACTACAAAATGGTGTCGAAGTCGAATGTTTATTACAGGATGGATCACTATCCACTATGGAACTTGTTCCAGAACAAATTTATATCTTTGGATTTGAGTCATTAGATAAAGAAAACGTGTTAATAAAAGTGCAAGGGGTAGTTAACACATGCCAAACAATGAACTGCCCAGCTATGCATGTTTGTCGGAACATGCCTAACATAAAAGGGCCTTTGATATTAATGACTGTGTATTATATTATCACACTCTGGCTTATCCCTAAACAGGCCTAATGGAATATTTAATAGGCTCCAACCACCACACACACTACTTCACTCCATCTCACAGCACTTCATGTCAGGTCAATTAATTTGCTTACATGTAAACTGGCTTCGCATCACTTCACTTTACACCATATCTCACGCCACCAATTATCACCCCTTCCCATTTCAGCGCGTTTTACTCTGCCTCACTTCTCACACGTCCACTTCACAGGACAGCTCATTCACACCACTTAATTTAACGTCAATTCACTTTACTTTACCTCAGTCTTCTATCACGACCCTCGTTCTCGTTCTTTTACATATTGACTAAGACTTAGGGAAATATATTGTTTTCCAAAAGTCCCAGTCAATAAGTATTTAGTGATATACTGTAGCTAAGTGTGTCATTGAAAACAAAAAAAAAGAAACAAGAAAGCCTCATAATTTTTCTCATTACCTGAACGTTTTTATTTTTCACTGGTCACTGACAGTATCTTCCACAAATCAGACTTTTTGTCCAATTAGAGGCAATAATACATGAACTTTGACACTTGGCATATACTGTAATAATATAAGTTTACTTGTTGCGTAATGTAGCATCGCGAAAAGCGTGGAAAGCAGGTATGGAATTGACTAAGAAACTGAATAACTAAAGATATTGCTTCTTCCTGTTTCATTGTGTAGAAAATTATAAATTTATTGGAGGAGAAACGCTTGGTTGGCGGGACGTTTCCGTTCAAAGAAGAGTCTGACGGGGTGAGATATTTAAAAGAAAAGTTATACTTTTAAAATTTTTGTGCTGAAGCGCACCTTTTATTTAGTTTAAAGCACATTGGCAACCAAAATTTTTATTACTTATATCCTTTAGGTATACTTACGGAATATTCAATTTCATATTTTGGCCGGTTTGTCGCGTTTAGTCGTTGAGAAAATTTGATAAAAAGTTCAACAGTTGTCAGCCATTTTGAAAATAAGCGCGTATGCTAATTTATGCCACAAAATACATCATCTGACGTCATTAGATGGGTAAACACTTAATTTCATAACCGAGTATTACCACGCGTAGTGCACTTTGAGCCAAAACAAAAGGCAGAAAAGTTTTACCAAATAATAATAATTAACTATATTTTTACAGGTTAACTTGGTCAGCTATATTAAGCTGCTATAAATCAAGGTCCTGTGTTTACAATAAAATTTATATAGATAAAAAGTGTAAAGTTTCATATTTACAAAATGTTTCGAATAGTTATTGAGAATAGTGTTGAATAAAAAGTGAGATGTCTCTAATATACGAAGCGTTTCTAACGTTCTAACAGTTAAAAATAATGTTACATTGTTCTTTAAATCTCAGTAATGATGTTCCTTTTGTTAGACTGTCATGTAATTTGTTGTATTGAACTGCTCCTTCGAATGCAAATCGTTTCCGTGCAGTTTCAGTTCTAACTTTTGGCAATAGCAGTTTGTTGTTATCTCCACGGGTGCCTTTTCCATGGGAGTACCTTTGGAAGTAGCCATCATAGCATTGAGGTGCCAAGCCATTTAAACATTTAAACACTTCTATTACACAAGCTCTGTTTCGGATTTTTTCCAACTTTGTCCAATTGTTTTGGATGTTGTTGCCATAAGCAATTTTGAAGGCTCGTTCTTGTACTTTCTGGAATTTTTCGATCGAGGTGACTGTGTCACCGAGAAATAGATTATTACAGTATAAAAGGATTGGCTCTATCATCGTTTTGTAGATTGACTGCGCAACCAATAGGCTGATGTCACATCGTATGCGTGATAGGAGTTTAACTCTTCTCATAGCTTCTTTATATGTCTTGTCTTTGTGCTCAACATAGGTTAAGGATTTATCCATGTTAACTCCGAGGTATTGATACGCTTGTACTTCGTTCACCGGTTCGTTTCAAATCATAATATCCATTTTCTCGGCTTTTGACAGGATGAATTCGGTTTTTCCTTTTTTGAGGTTGACGACTAGGTTGTTTTCGTAAAACCAGGTGGCCAGTTTTGATAGATCCGAGTTTAAATTTACTTTAATGGTTTCTTGATTTTTACTGGATGTAAAGACCACTGTGTCGTCAGCATATAGTAGGATTTTACAACTATTCAATTGGTGATCGATGTCATTAATCAATAAGATGAACAGCATAGGTCCTAAAATGGAACCCTGTGGCACACCACAAACGACAGGTTGGCTGTCAGATTGTGTGCCATCGTAGATTACACGTTGACGCCTTCCAAATAAATAGTTCTCAAACCATGTTTGTTCTTTATCTTTAATACCGTAATGAGATAATTTGGACAGTAGACGACCATGATCCACCGTGTCGAATGCTTTCTTCTGGAATTTTTCGATCGAGCTGACTTTGTTACCGAGAAATAGATTATTACAGTATAAAAGGATTGGCTCTATCATCGTTTTGTAGATTGACTGCGCAACCAATGGGCTGATGTCACATCGTATGCGTGATAGGAGTTTAACTCTTCTCATAGCTTATATATCTTGTCTTGTGCTCAACATAGGTTAAGGATTTATCTATTTTAACTCCGAGTTATTGATACGCTTGTACTTCGTTCACCGGTTCGTTTCGAATCATAATATCCATTTTCTCGGCTTTTGACAATTTGTTAGGTGTACCGTACAGTAACTCTTCTCATAGCTTCGTTGTAGTAGCTTGTTTGTAACTTGTTTGCAACAATATTTCTTATAGTATATACAGTATCCTACTCCGGTAGCTTCTTTGTAGTAGTTACGATAGCTTCTTTGTAGTAGTTACGTATGTAACTTGTTTGTAACAATATTTCTCATAGTTATATACAGTATCCTACTCCGTGTTAAAATTAAATAAACGCAGAAATTCGAGTGTAACAAGGCAAATAGTAATGCAATATTGTATGATCAATTACCTGTATTGTAAATTGCGCCATTCGTTGCTTTCCCTGTCGCTCAATATGTTTTTATCTGATAGTGTAGACTTCTTTTGTTTGATTGCGAAGAGTGTTGGCCAGTATAACGCTCAAAACGACATATTTTAGCTAACATAACATGCACGCAATATAATTGTCTCTTGTAGTTTTGGTGCACCCATTTAGTGACGTCATAAAGTACATTGACCTTCGAGATAATTTTTCAAAATTTTTCCAAGATGGCAGCGAAACACAAAGTTTGCGTGCGATTTACTCGTAGACTAAAATCAGGGCGAAGGGAGAGAGGGCGTGGAAACGGCCATACATCGAGCGCGACCATCCGTGATGCGGGCTTTGCGGGGGGTAAGACGTCCTAATTGTAAACAAATATGGCGACGCGGATATGACCCATCAGAAGGTAAGCTCGTACTATTGCTTATAAAATATTACTTGTGTAAAATTTATATGTTTTTGTTACTTTTAGCTATTATAAGAAACTTAAAGATAAGATTTAAATAACGAAAAACTTTATTTCGGGTGTTATTTTATTTCTATACTCTGTTTAATTTGGTGTTAAAAATGGCCGTCGAAATGTTGTAAGAGAGTGTTAGCGCGCACTGCTTCCTGGTAAAAAACCAATGATTTCCAAAACCTAAATTATAATTTGTTATTAAGTTATGATGAAAACCTTTGCGTAGACAAAATTATAGAGTGAGCAAATATGAGACAGATAGGTTTTGAACCTTTCAAAGTTTGATGTCAAATTGACAGTTGAAATAGTACCAAACTCCACCCTGAAATGTGCATCTTTATCGTGTATATTTTTGTCAATTTTGTTTACGCCACTTTGTTAAATTCACCTGCAATGGCTCGATATAAGTTAGGTTCATATCGGAATGGATGAACAGAAAAAGAGACCTCTTTCAACCCCAACAAAACCACCTAGAAAAAAGCCGGCTCATTTTGACACACCAATTAAAATTAGGCAGAGTGTGCAAGAGTTACTACAGCAAAATCAGTTAAATTACAACGATATAAATATTTGCTCAAACTTTCGTGAAAACATACAAACGCATGGTCAACCTTCCTCTTACTGTGAAAATGTGTTGAGCTTGAAAGAAAGCAGAGCCCATGAAAAAGCTATTCATACTCCTACACCATCAATAAACAAACCATCTGAACATGTGTGTGATTCAGCTTCCTTGCTATTCAGAAGTGGTTGCCCATTAGTTGAAGAAGAATTACTATTGTATGCACTTGTTTGCACTTCCTTTCCCGAAAATGGTTACAATATTAAGGCTAAATCAGCAGATAAATATGACCCAATAATCCATGCAATTGGAAATGTCTATCACATCGACTTCAAGAATCATGATTTGAGGAATTATATCCATCGGGCAACCCATAATTTAGTGACAGGTCTTGGAAAGGTGAAAGGAACCCTTAGATGGGTGTACTACAAAAATATAGTGACTGAAGTTTTGGAAAAATCCAGTCAACTTTTGAAGGATATTCTTACAAACTGTGATTCAGTATCATGGGATGAGATTAAGGAATTGAAAGATTTTATAAGTGAGCAATGTTTAAAAGCAAGACAAATAAACCATGAAAGAAATTGCACTAACGGAGCCCAAACCTCTCCAGAAAAGTGTATGTTTGAGTCTGATATCCTAATTGTCGATCAAATCACAGAACTGCATATCCTTGAGGAATTTCCAAAGTGGAAGGTTAATTACAATGATAATGACAAGTCAGCTCATCTTTTCCATTTTTCTGGAAATGATGGGTATGCCGAAATTGAAGTGATAATTAGTAGTGATAAATCATGGATTATTATGCTGGAAGGCAAGCTCCAATGCAATGCTAATTTAGAATGGGCTGATATCCCCTTACAACTAAACTTAGTGTCGGAATTGCAACAGTTGCTGTCGGTCATACAAGGTTCGCACATTTGTAAAGGTTGCCCATATGAGCCCTTTTACAACATTATATCAAGTGACAGTAGTCAACCAATATTTCTCACAAAGAATAAAGAGGTGGGTGCTTATGTTGAGGATAAAATCTCGCATTTCCATAACAAAGGGATCCGGTCAACTGGTTGTGTAGTATTTCTCCCTGGAAATGACAGCCTTGTCTGTGCCAAAACTGTGTGTGATTTATGTGCCAAAACAGAACATTACTTACGCACTAAAAAATCCAGATTCAATAAAAAAATTACTCTTGAAGATAACAAGGAATTGTCAGTTGACAATTGCAACCCTCATCATAATTTTGCCTATATGACTAAAGAACAACTACTTATTACCACCAGAAACCAGTCAAGGCAATTAAAACAGCTGCATAAACAGGTAAAAAAATTAGAAACGCACAGAGAAAACATGAATGAAGTTGGTGAGAAGACAAATGGAGACCTCAAATGCATGTTTGAAAAATTGAACAAAGGATTAAATTCCAGAAGGGAAAGACTTGAAAACCCTGTATGCATGTGGAAAGGATGTTGTGGAGAAAAATTTTCTGATGTTGAATGTCTTTATAATCATGTTAAAGAACACATCCCTGACAGTGACCCATCTATTGCACCAGTGGATCGTATGTATATTTGTATGTGGGAAACATGTGACAAGAAATTTTCAAAGAAAAAGCTGTTACATAATCATATTTTGGAGCATACTGGCAATACACATGATCAGTTTTTTGAAATCCTGTTGAAAGACCAGGCTAAAGCACTCACAATGCCATCAAAGCAAATGCGCTGGCATCCATTGATTATAAAGTGGTGTTTGAGGATGTACACTAAATCACACTCATTATATGATGATATAAGAGAATCTGGAGTTATCAAACTACCTAGTGGTAGAACACTAAATGATTACAAAAATTTTTGCTCCACTAAGTCTGGTTGGAATACAGAAAATATAAAGGCAATGAATGACAAACTTGAAAAGTTAAAACTAAAAAAATGTGCCAAGATTGGTGCATTTTTGTTTGATGAAGTAAAGATTAAGGAAGGCCTGCTATTTGATCCATCCACTTGGGAATTAATAGGATTCACCAACCTTGATATCACAGAAGAAACCTCTGGTGACAACTCTACTACTAATAACCACCCAGAGGAAAAACTTGCGACACATGTCTTACAGTTCTTCTTCAAGAGCTTATTTGCTAAGTTTGACTTTCCATGTAGTTACTTTCTGACTAATGGGATCAATGCTCAGAAGCTTAATAGAATTTTCTGGCAAGGCGTAAGCATACTACATGGTTTTCAGTTCACCATATTACTTTCAATCTGTGATGGAGCTTCTGAAAATCGGGCATTTATAACTATGAATGGCATAAATGCTTCAAAGAGCCAAGGTACCAACAGATTTTCAGGAACACCAATATTCTTCTTTTCAGACCCGCCCCATTTGATGAAAAAGTTGAGAAACAACCTGTTTAGCAGTGGGTTTAAAGAAAAACACAATCGTTTCACAAGAACACTAAAACTTAATAATAAATATGTGTTATGGGACCACATATATTCTGTATTTGAACGGGAAAAAAGAAGGCGCATTTATTCAACCCCTTTGAGAAGGGCCCATGTTCAACTTGATAATTTAAGCAAAATGAGGGTTAAACTGGCAGTTAACACTCTGTCCAAAGAGGTTGCAGAAGAGATGAGAGAGCATGAGAACAATATCACAGAATCAACCCAGGAATACATTTGTATGTGTAATGACCTCTGGGAGGTATTTAACAGTAGACACCCAATCACATCAGTTCAAGACCCTCGAATTGGTACATTAGACAATGTATTAGGCTTCTTCACAAACTGGAAAGCCAGTCTTGAGCAAGAATTTACCATCAAATCTGATGTGTCAAGCCATTTTATAACTTGGCAAACCATGTTTGATTTACAGGTATAAAGCCTTTAAGTATAGAAAAATCATAGTTTTTCCTTTTTTTTAGGTTGGTAAGTGCAATTCATTGTAATCTCCCTATAAGTGCCCCCAGGGGGGGTTATTTTTCAAACTCCATTGGGTGGGCTTCACATTGTTGTGAGACAACTTATATAAAGAGAGATTACTACACGAGATATTCAAACTAAACTCTATTGCCAGTATTAGGATCCAAAAGCAAAAATCTTTGTATATTCTATTTACATCTACAAAATGCATTCAGTTACATTTATAGTAACACAGCAATTGTAGACTGATTGTTCAAAAATTACCCATTCACAGCTTTTACTGAAATTGTTTTGACTCTTATTACCATTTTACTGTTTCCAGGTTACAATAAATGCCCTCAAAGGATTACTTGAGTATCTGCAAACCAATGAATTCAAAGAAGAGTTCGGAGAAGGCCTTTATCTTGTGTTGAATAGATTAAACCAAGACTGTGTTGAATCGTTCTTCTCCGTTCAAAGACAAATGTGTGGTGGCACGCAAAATATGACTGCTTATATTTATGGATACAATGTTGCTGGAAATATTTCATTTACAAATTCCAAGTTAGTTTCAAGAAAGCAAACAAATGTATATGAAACAGAACAATGCCTTACACTTGCTGCCGACTCTCAAAACCTGCCTAAACGCCAGTCAGGTGAAAGTATATTTGATAAAGTCCGATGGCCTGTAACATTGTCTTGAACTTTAGCCTGTATTGATATTCATTTCTGGAATTATTAGACACATTAAATATATAATAATCCCCTCTTCAGGTTGAGACGATGCAACAGGATCTTGTAAAAAATATTCAATAGGGAGCTTATTAGATTAGGGTGGCTTATTATAGAGATGTTGGCTTTTATAGGGATTGCAATAATATGTATATAACGTTGTATATAACATTACATAAATAGATACCGTGAACCTCCTAATATAACCCCCCGCCCACCACCACCAATATAAGTCCCCCCAATATAAGTCCAGTAGCCCACTAGGTTATTCAACATATTGACATTGTATTTACAGTAATATAGCAGAGAACAATATTTAAAACATTGTCATTGTCTTTATAGCTTACTATGTTAATCAAAGCATGTTATTAATTTAATATACATGGTTATTTTCCTGTTTATGACTGACTTGTTTATTGCTAACACAAAAGATCACCATGAATAAGCCCCCTCCCCCTGTATAAGCCCATCAAAAAAGCGCTTACAAAAGAATATAAGCACAGGGCTTATAGACAGAGGTTTACGGTATAAAATGTGTATGGATGTTGTGTTTTGAACTTTGTAATTATATATTATATCATGACAGTACTCTGAGTGGTTACACACTGAGCAAACTGAAAAAGTGATTGAATGTGATGAGAATCATATTGAGCTTGAATATACTTGATTTTGTAGATCAGTTGATAAGCCATTGGATTAGCAAACCAAATGTAAAATGTTTGATTTCCAATTACATGATTAAGCTAATTTTCGGCTTGTTCAGTGTGGGTTAGCGAGTTACTCAGTACATGTAGTAGTAATAAATAAACTTGCAAATGAATGTGTTATACTATTTCATAAGAATGCCTATCAATATAGCTTCTATATTCATGTAATTACCCCAGTTAGCCTCACTTTTTTGAAAGCATGATGTTCAATTGAGTGTCATCAGTAATAATTGGCAGCAAAACAGCTATTTCCTTTGCCTTCCCTTTTCCATTCAGGGCAGGTTTGCCAAGTCTTTTCAGGAGTTTTGTCAGTTGTTTCCCTGTCAGATGATTGAGATAAAACTGAAGGTCAACAGTCATTCCAATCTCCCTTAAACATTCTGCAACAATTTCAGGATTTTCAAAGTTCTTTTGTAGCCTGACAATGACATCTGGAGTTTGGTTTCCAGAGATAGATGAAGGTATTTCTGTTTGCTTAGATTTCTTTTTCTTTGGCTTCTTGATGTCTTGTCTTAAAGCTACACTCCCCTTTTGAGGTTTAAGATTCAATTTTTCCCTAATGATTTGTTGTTTTGACTTGAGAAACATGGTGGAAATTCTCTGCAGCACTGAAATCTGGACAGCTAGTGGAAAAGCATTTTTGCAAATAGTTTCCCAGGCCAGACGTAACTTTACATTTATGGACATATTTTTCAAACAGTTAATAATGACCTGGTCATCAAATGATGAAACAGAAAAATAGCTGTCCGTGAAATCATGTAAAAGAACAAAAAAGTTTGTGACTTCGGGATGTAGAACAAATAAGTACTTGTCTCCTCGTCTTTCGTCTGTACCCAAAGTCTCAATAAGTTCAAGGGCCTTTTTTGGGTCAACAAAGACATTATTGCTATCATTCACTGACTGTTTCAATACTATATGAGATGAAGCATCACACTTAGACTTGATCAAATCTCTGGACCTCTTGACAGCCCAACCTCCATGATAGCTAATTGCCTCAAGTTCACTTTTGTCGGTTGTATTACTATTGGTGGTGTTTAAGGTGATGTCAGTTACTTGATCAATTGTAAAATGTGGCTTTACGATCCAAAAATGAAGGAGTACATGTTCTAGAACAGTCTTCGAAATATTTTTGTTGGTGGAAATTCCACAAGACTCGACCAGCTCTCCCCACTTTTGCTGGATTTGAATTCTCTCTGTTGAATCTTTCAAAAAAATTTTGTTCTATCCTAATAGAGCGTACTTGTTTTGCTTTTACCTTGACGTTAATAAAAGAGGAAAATGAGGTTTCAACAATTGTTAAAAAGGGTAAGATATTTGCTTCCTTTTCTTCAATATTCGTCAAAAGTTTTTCAGCAAATATTGCTTCGTCTAGAATATTGCAGTCACGATCACGTATTCTTGTCAAAACAGCAATAAATTCACCCTTAGACACATTTTTGAAACTGCTATCTGGTTCTTCCAAGTTATCTTCATCAATTTCGGTGTCTAACATATCCAATTCTGCTAAATCATCAGTTACATCGAGGCGAAAGATCTCGTTTAAATCAAAACCACCTTCCGCCATCTTTAAAATATTAATTTTTGTACCCAGTTTACCCAAACCTGACTCGGACTCTCGCATCACGCATGATCTCAAGATTTGTATGGCCGTTTCCACGCCCTCTCTCCCTTCGCCCTGACTAAAATGTTCGAGAAGCGAATGATAATATTTTCATAGTTAGGTTGCCAAGTAGGATTGAAATGGCCAATAAAAATTTTCGTTGCCATTGTCCTTTAAATTATTTTTATGTTCACATGTTTTTTAACATGTGGCTCCAGGGAGAACCTTTCTACTGATGGAGTCACTTTGGTTAAATAACGCTCACAAACAAACAAAAAAACAAACAAAGAGACAATTTACCACTTTTAAACCTTTCAAAAACGCTTATAGCCTTAGAGCGAAACTATGATTTGCAATTACAGGTAGACTTGAAGAACAGTTTATTCAATTTTAACTTATAAAAAATAACTGTTAGAGAGATTTAGAAATTAGTGAACTGCTACAACAACGATTTGTATAAACCACTGTTTTGGATAAAAACTACTTCCGAGATGTCAAACGTTCTCATCTTAATATAATTTTAATTATTAAACCTACAAACTTGTTTTCTATTGTTCGCAATCGTTTCTGTTATTTCATTCAAAATCGAGTGTCAAAATTTCACGTATCGAATTTCAATTCAAAACTTGGACACAGGTCTTGAATTTGTCATTCCTGACCGGAAGTATACGCACAAAAAGGCATAAGGGACCTGTCATTAATTAGGGGGGGGGGGAGAAGTTGGTGCAAATGAGATATGCTATCCTTTAACCCTCCCAAAAGTTGGAGCGCAAATTGGGCCCCCCATTCTTATTGGGAAGTTAGTTGTATTTCGGTTTTCTTAATATTCACATTTTTAGTGCAAAGTTTCACTTTGCACTATTGCTGTAGGTGGCAAGGTGAGACGAGGCATATATTCATACATCTAAATATCTATCCTATCTATTCACAGAAATACGTGCGTGTTTGGCTCTCTAAATATAGAAATGATTATAGGGTTCAGGGGGCATGGTGGAAAACACGGAGTGCGGAGTATGGATTGTCAAAACAGTTTATTTTTCCTAAAGATTCGATTTTAATGAGACTCCGCGTTTTCCACTTTATGGGGGCATAAAGTGGAAACGCGGAGTCTGTCAAAAAAATCTTTTGTCCAAAGATTCTATTTTAATGAGACACACTTGCAGTATCTTTCTCAATTTGAAACTTTGCACTATCCTTGGATCCGTGATATAAATACATATTGACATATTAACCATTCCTGTTATTTTTGGCATACCGATATTTGATACAATGTATATCAAATTTCAATTATTCTTGTCTACAGGTTAAATAAACATACTTATGCATAGTCGACAGTACATTTGTTTAGTTGGAGGGCTAGAAAAACTCGAGGGTGCTCCGGGATCATGCTCCCCAGAAGATTGCAAAATCTCGAGTCTCTGAAATGGCATTTATTACGTTCTGGGGGTGATCTAACATGCAGAAACTATTTCATTTTGTTCATTTAACATTTCAGGCTGCAAAGAATCTGATACCTTCATATTAAGTTATCTCCTCTGGTCTTTTTTTATCTCGAAACTATGTTTGTATTCCCTGGTATCTTATGCATTTTTGCTTGCATAAAAACGTCTGGCCCTCCTCTTTTCTTTGCTTAAAAATAGATTACCCTCTCACATTTTAAACCATCCCTACCCCTAATTAAAGACTAGTCCCTAAATAAACAGTACGTAAATACTATATAAGAGAAATTTAAGGCGAAATTTTTTCACTAAACTGAAAGTCCTGTAAAAATTCGAAAAATGGGATAAAATATAAAATAAAATAGAATAAAATAAACAAACGCCATCAGACAGTTAATGAATTTGCTGGCTAGCAATATAAAAAGTACTTATTTACATTGGATCACCGTTACAATAGGTCGTGGGTAGAATATTTACATAGGTACCTAGATGCATGCGCTCTTCGCGAAAACTCGTGTAAGTAAAGTGTGCATGCATGTGCTTCTAGGGTTTACTGTATCTGTGAATTTCCTGCCTAACCAATTCTTAGTTTTTTAGCACGTGTATTATGAGTCTCTGACTTGGATAATTGGGAAATCTCACCCTGTGTAAACGACATAAAATATAAATAAGTAATTAATGCGCGTTTCTATTTTAGATTGACACTGGAAAAGGTAAGGGATGATGGGCCTGTCAAACATTTGAAATGTTGTTCGCTTTGTACCCCTTGTCAGTATGTTATCATACATTGCTATTATGCACTTTAGATGAAGAACCCGTTTGTGACACAACGAAACTATCTCATCGAGAACTTACTCGATTGTCCATAAAGATTGTCGGGGAATATGATGTAATTGCGGGATTGGCTAACATAGACAAATGTGAAGTAGAAAACGTGAACCAGGATTACATTAACTACCGACAGCCAAAGCACAGGGCCAAACAAATTTTAAGTATGATCATTGACCGAACCAACTTCAGCCGTAAAGAACTTGGTGATTGCTTAAAAGAAGCAGGATTACATGACCTGGTGGATGAAGTAGTACAGGGAACATTAAGGCGTTGTCCTGATGACGCTGTTTCGTCAAATGAAACTACCGAAAGTTAGATTGTTTACGGCTGATGCCTTCATAATGCTGTCATTACTAGAAATTGGCGATAAAATGGTCACAGCTTGTACACTAATTTGCATATTATCCATATACAATAGCCTTCAATTTTCGACGAAGAATGTTACGGAGTGAACATATTTATCTCGAAACTATGGCAATCCGAGAGCTTGACTATTGTTTGCTGTCCTCGCAGGGGTCGAAATTTAAATTTTTTTGTACTATACAGCCGGAATAGTAGATTTTGAAATTTACTATTCCGTCTGAAGATCCACTATTCCTTAATGTACTGTTTCTGAGAGCCTGTTCATACAGGGTCCGCGCTAATGTTCTGATTTTCGTGAAATCATCCTTGAGACTCCTAAAGTGAACTAAATAATTGAATAACAAAAAATAAACATGTACAGTGCACAACCTCGTACCCAGGATCTTTCTTTGGGAAAGACCCTGGCTGCGGCTGGTCACGTGCTTCATCAAAAATTTAGCGCCTGAGGGGGTGTGGGGAAAGTATCAAATTACATCAACATGCTTCTAGTGGGATATTCGTTAAAAACATAGATTTTGCGAATTATTACGTTCAAATACTTGCTAATTTTTGTTTATTTTCTTTGCTTTGAATTTACAAGAACATTGTTACATTCTTACTTACAGTCAAGCCAAGAAACCAAGCGAATCGTTACTCGCAGTGCTCTCTCGTGTTGTTATTCAATGCATGCTCTCTTCACACTCGAGCGCGGTTATAACAAACGTTTGTTGTAATGTTTTTAAAATAGGCCATTACATTTGTCCTTTCTTGTGAACGTTGATACGCTTTGCACCGATTCACTTGTTACTACGCGTCTTGTTTATAAGATTTTTAAAAGAAACAGTATTGTCTAGGAGATTAGGACTGCCCAAATATTAGCAAATGTAAACATTTGATAATAGCCGAACAGAGAAATGTCCATAAGCATAGAGGAAATTTCAGTCATTGATTTATCTGGATTTACTACATAAATTCGTATTCGGTAATTATAGTAAGACTTTAGCCTTTTTCTTGGTCTCTATTAATCATTATATTGTGCTAATATACTATAATCTATATCACAAATTTACAGTGTCAGATGCGCAGACCGTCATTTGGCGTCATACGAATAGACATAAATTTTCGAGTTTTCTACTTCTACTAACATTTTTAAAGTTTTCATTGTGAATCACCTGTTTATCTCTAATTCATTAATCATTTGCTACTTATATTTATTTGATAGTGTCAATGTCATATAGTGAATAATGCGTTTACACACAAGCAATCCTGGATATGATATAGACGATGCAAGCTTTCCATTAAAAAATAACGGTATTCTATTTCACAAAGCAAAAATTTAAATCTCACTTGTATATATTAAGAATGCATATAAAGCAAAAAATTAAAGCTTATTCATGTCAAAACGAAAGCTGTTTACAAAATTTATAAAGGTGGTGAACACTACTAAACAGTGCTCATTGAAAGACATGTATAATACAGTGACATATAATTTGCCGTTTGACTTATCTTTGGTGTATGATTTTAATACCGTAGATTTTCAACAGACAGCTATACTTTGACATATACCATGATCGTTGGATTCAGCAATGCCAAGGGCCAATTTTATAGTCTTTTGACGGACTTTAAGTTTTTTGATAAGGCCTTTATATAGATCAACAATCTGGATACAGTTGGCGATATTTCGGAAATCAAAAGATCTCGCTATTTCGTTGCAATTCCACATCTCATCAATAAATAAATTATTTTGGTCCGAGTATCAGGATAAACTTTAATACTAAATAAATAACAACCACACTGTTCGGTCTAGAGATATATATTTCCTTGTAGGTTTAATCACAGTTTAATATTGCCACGCTGCACAAGCGGCAAGCGTGCTTTCTTTGGCAAGTCTATAATGAAATCTGATCCAACTTGCTTGAATTGTAACTCGACACCAGATTATAGAGTAGAACGTCACGACATAAATATAATTCAAGAGTTCTCTTTATAATTACGATTTCTTGTTGCAAATTTACAGTAAATTTCATCACCCAAAGTTGCAATTTTAAAACGCTACAAACACTCTCCTTTCCCACCCCTCTCACAGTTACAATTAAATTTACCTCCCAGAATCTGGGAGGCACGTGACCAGCCGCAGCCAGGGTCTCTCCCAGATGACAGACGGAGAGACCCTGGGAACGAGGTTGGTACAGTGCATTGCTCTGTACAGTGATGAACAAATTATTAATAAAAAACAAAACATCTCACATTCAATGAATCATTCAGTAATTAACTATGATCTAACTCATCTATTCATGTACATATTCTACGCCCGATATATACCGCCGCATTTTGTATAATGTTTGAGTCCTAAAAACTAAACGCTAAAGTTGTTTTGGACGACAGGGCAGGCCAGTGGCGGTCTGACTGTCATCTTATTGTAGCAAAGTTAATTAAGTTAATATTGCTGCAAAGAAATTAGAAAACGTAAGTACTGCAAGCAAACAAGAACTTAGCTACGAAGTGAAACAAGTGGTTCAAAGTTCGGTATACAGTATAGTGATTTTATACAAGAGGAAAACCCTTGCTTGTCGATATTTGGTACCACAATTTTTTCTACTATGCAAACGCAATACCGTGATCATGAAGTTTACTATTCCGTCAGGCATTTTACCATATTCGGAATAGCGGAAATTTCCACCCCGGTCTCGTGTCAATAAAGCAGTCATTTGCTAAAGTTTTGGTGGCATATTTATTCAAGTCGGGTATCTCTCCGAGCGAACAAAAAGTGTTCGAAAACATCAACTTTTATGTCAACTTTGTAGGATTGGTTAAACTGCTGAGGGATTATGTTTTGAGATTTTTAATACTGTTTGAGTTTATAGAGAAACCCCGTAAGACTAGACTTTTACCAATATTAATTGATGTTTTACTCCCCGATTTAATGACTCAACTGGAATAAAAAAATGGTTGTTTTTATACTGTGTTGTTAGTAGAGGCCGAAGCATAGATTAGAGTGTTTGCAACGAATTATTATTTGGCCTCTCGTGAAGATTCCCAATCTGATTAAACGTGTAACCAAACCTTTTGAAAATAATTGTTTTATTGATCGCGATGTCGGCAAACAGTAGTACTGCATGTCGCGTTGCCAAATTAAATATTTTACCCTCTATTTGCTCTGTTAAAAATTAAAGGCCACTGCATATGAATCATATGCAAATTAATATAGGAGCGGTTACCATTTTGTCGCTTAGTTCTGGTAACAGACTGACACTGATTTAGAGAATACGACGCGAACTGAAAGACAAAGAGATTCTTCATGCAAAACAAAAAAATTGAATAATTTGTGATCCCAGGGGTATCCTCAACAAAGTTGTCATTCTGAATACAACGTTAAACTAAGATTTTTACGTCATTGGACCAACGTGAATGCTTGTTGCGACGTTGTAGGCGTTACATAAAGTCTATCTCATAGCAGACATCGCCTCGTTTTCCCGAACATAGCCGTTTGTAAGATTATTTAAAAAGCTTCAATTTATAAACAGTAATCAAGGTCCTAGAGCTCTCAATCTTGAGCTGAAATTAGCCCGCGTCGTCGTGTTTGCCTCGTCGTTTTCCCTAAATCTGTCTAATGAGTGACTTATACGTCGGGCCATTAATTAAGAGGACAATATTGGGGCTCAATAAAGAGGACAATCTTAAATTTGTTAAATAATTTATAACCTATTTACAATATATTAAATTTTAGATATAGTCACAGATGTATTTGTATGTTCTCTGGCAAAGAACTAGAGTATTAAGAGGCATTTTTTTTCAATGTCACGTATTTGCTATGAAAAGTGTTCAAAACCTGAAATCTTTTTGGCGTTCCTCTCAAAATTACTTTGTTTTAGTTGTATTATGTAGTTTACACAGTTAGAAACCTTTTTCTGAAAAAATCTGGCGGTTGAGAAACACAAATAATACTTTAATAGTGTCAATTTAAATACAATTATCATTGATGCTGTAAAATTGACGCCATATTTATACATGCAGCAATGTAAGCAAAACTTACTGAACTTCAGACATCATTTTCTCGAAAATCTCTTCATTTTATAATTATTTTACAAGTAAAGCACTAAACATACAGTACTTTTTAAGTTTGTTTTCCAATTGAGAAACGTATCGAAAAATAAAATTTTTGAATGTAGTCATGACCGCAGGTGGTATGTTATACTGGCATTAGTTTTGAGCGCGTGTTACGTAACATACAAAGAAATATCCTCTTAATTAATAAACAGTCATATGCATGTGGCTTTTATATTATCTGGAAATTACAGGACTGCATGTTAATATGTCAATTAGTATTTTATAATATTTAAATTTTAGGAATGAATTCTAACTTTTAATGATGTATATTATTGTATGGCAAGCATTTGTTTTGCTCAACAAAAAAAATAAATTACCTCAAATTGCTCGCAAGTTTACTGTTTTGAAGAATTGAAAAAGCTTGATTTAAAAATTAGTTTGATGACTTTCCTCGGCTTTGACGTAGTGTTTTTCCATAGTTTACTCGAAAAGGTCGAGTAATTTCTTCGCTCTAACCAGAAAAGAGCCGCTTTAGAGGGAAGTAATACGGTTTCTGTTTTTCCGTGTAAGCCAGCTCTCATTTCTGTGACTAGCCCGTTCGCGGGCTAGCCATTATGTAAACGCTAAAAATGTAAGAGTTGTGACGGAAGTGTTCGACTTTACTTCGGAAACTGTCGTCGTTCATTCCTTATTGCCATGAGGCGACGTCTAGAAAGTTTATGTTTATGACATTTTACTTGGGAATAAAACATCAATATTTTATCACAAATACAGGTAAGCCAATTATTTTCCATCTCTAGTCATTTGTTGTTGAAAATTTTGATTTATAATACTAAAAACATCGCAATTTTGGTCTGCTCTGGTCAAATATATTTGATCAGGCTCCATATTTTTGCGTGCATTCAAAAAGTTGAACGAAGCCATTGTTGCTTGCACTGATCTTAGATAAGGCTCCCACGTGAGGTCCACGTATCAAAGTAAAATACAAAAGTTGAACGAAGCCATTGTTGCTTGCACTGATCTTAGATCAGGCGCCTACGTGAGGTCCACGTATCAAAGCTGAAATAGAAACTGAAATAGAAACTGAAATAGAAAATCAAATCAAACTTGCCATTGTGCACTTAAGGTGGCTCCCTACAGTTTTGATTGTAAAGCACACTCAATTGTTTCAAAAAACCATTATTTTCTCATCTTGCAAAGTATAATCACGGAAACTCGGCCAAATAACTGCTACAATATCGCGGATTACGAAAAATAAAAAATGTCGTTAAAAATCCCCGTTGCCATGGTAACAAAGCGATTTTAAAAAGAGCCAATTTGCAGATTCTTTGATAATTTTTTGAAAATTTCTTCGGTAAAACTTTTTAATTTTTTGCACACAGTAATGTTATCTATAATTCCTTCAAATGATAGCATTTAAAAAAAATCGGACGAGAATTATTTTTTTAATCCTCAAAAAGCCCTGTTTTTGGAATAAAAAAAATTGGGCTCGTACGATTTTCTTAGAACTTGCAAATTTTACGCACTTCAAGATTACAGGAAAGTGTGTGAAGTTTTAAAAAATTTTACCGAAGGAAACACGAGAAAAATACATTTATTTTTATCTATGTGACGTCACAAAAATCAGGATTTCAATTTCCTCGCGACCAGCCGACAATCCCACGAAGGCCCGCGCGTGTATATCACGACGCAATTTTAAAAAACCCGCCACGCGTGCAAGTGTGCAAAGTCAACCACGTCATAGAGTAAAGATATACCACGTATGTTGCGTGTAGCACTACTAATCTCGCGCGTGGACAAAATTTCCGCGAAACAGACCTAAAACTGTAGGGAGCCACCTTAAACAAAACCAACCTTGCCATATTTGTGCAGGTATATTGTAAAGAGAAAACCCAGTTTGGGGATCATTTACTACAACTGACCTGTCAACTTGCAGGTGAACGATTTACAAACTACACAAAACAACCTTGACTGTTAAACTTGACTGAAAAATATGGGTGTAGCGATGGAGATATATCGTTCAAGAATTGGTTCACACCATAATTTTACACAAGGAAGAATGTTAATGTCTCGACTGAAAGGTAAATTCTGGAATCAAATGTTGATGATATTTTATTTAAAAGTATTTTACTTACCATGTCTTAAAAATCTAGTGACTAAAACTGAAAAATACAATGAGGTGTGCATGTGGTATGCACAGACGGTATGTTATCATGTTCATGTAGCTACCATTGTTATTAAGACTTTCAAATGATGTTGAGAAAAATCCAGGTCCTAGAAATATTAATGAAATAGTTGACCGTACTTATACAGTTCATGCCGACTTTCACCAAGGTGATCAATTAATGTTTCGATCTAATCCTGGAAAACAATGTGTTGCCATGTCACTATGTTCTATTGTTTATAATGAAATTAAATCAGTTAACATTTGGGACACATCCCTAATGAACCAGATTATAGATTATGGCAACAATTTATATGGTGTTATTAGTCAGAGTATAAACAAAGACTTTTTACTACTTACTGATGTACCAGAACTTGTCGATATTGATAATGACACATTTTGTCTGGAATATAGTGAGTCTTTTACAGGTGCATTATTCATGGCTGTCAATAATGATCCATATGTGACACTTGAGCATGCTTTTAATGAAATATTTGTTATGTCAAATTATAAAACTTGTTTACTCACAATCGACATGAATACTGTTGCAATTTTTGTGCCTTTTCCTGATGTCTTTAAAATTTTCGACTCTCACTCACGAGATCTTCATGGGATGCCAGAGGAGGAGTGAGGACTATACCGGCATGCAACGCGGTCAGGCGCGGTTTTTTACATATTATCGATTTCTCGCTCTGCGCCGTCATTGTTCGGTCGGCTCTCGCTGTGTTTACACCTCGAGGATTCGAGCGATTCGGAAAAGATTTATAGAAAAAAAAAAGTAAAATGGTGAATTCTTGCACTATTCGTGGAAAGAAAGCTTCGTTTTTGGGTGGACACGAGCTTCTGTTTGTTCACTGTGTGTCAAAACAGCCTTTAATCTTGATTCCGGAAGGATTACCGTGTGATGGACTTGAAAAATTATGTCGTGAGGTTCATGTTTACATAGTTTTAAGGAATACAGATAGTTTGAAGAATAGTCCTTTGTCCAGCTGTGGTTAACGGGATAAAAATTGATGAAATTATTCCCTGATTGCGGTAATCCTGCACTGGTACAAATTCACTCTAGTTGTGTTTTTAAGGTAAGATGATTTATATAAAATAAAAATATAAAAATGCTCTCGTACTGTATAAATTATATAAAATACAGTCATCTATGATGTGATTGATATATTTCACTTAAAATTGTTGTAATACAGCAGTATTAAACGTATTTTTATTTCATATCATGTAGTTCTTCGACCCTAATGATCCACAGGAAGGAGGTTGATATTTCAACATCACCAACATCCCACCATGTGACCCAGATAGTCAAGATGATGAGCTGGACAGTGTACTTCCACCAATAGAATTACACCAGCCAACTGATTATAATTGTTTTATTTAACCAATAAATCCTGTTTGCCCTGACGGACATTCATTCACACCAAATGATGGAAGAAGTGCCCAGTGGTAGCAGTGTTGATGGTGAAACTGAAGGAGGGGCAGTGAATATAGAGAATGAAATGGAGGAAATTTAGCACTATCACAACACTATATATATATATGTATTCACTACTGTGTGATGCATTGCAAGGATTTATACTGATCAACCAGGTCTATGCTCAAATGATCAACCAGTTGTCTATTATTTTACTCTGCCTAACACCAGATTATTTTACTAACACTAGACTTATTACTCATCAGGGGGAGAGTGCTACCACTCAATGGGTTAAAAAAACATTCAAACAAAATGTTTGGCAGAAGATGCAAAATTGTTTATTGGTATCTGGTGTGATACTGATATTTCTTTTATCTGTAAGGATAGACCTGGGGAGCTTCTAGTGGTACAGTCTTGTTTTCCTGTACTGCATGTGTTTTCCTCACTTCCCTGATTCTATCATAAGTATTGTATCCCATGGACACCATCTTATCAGTTCTGCAGTTTTTTGACAATCTACCGTAAACCTCTGACTATAAGCCCTGGGTTTATATTCTTTCGTAAACGATTTTTGATGGGCTTACACAAGGGGGCTTATACATGGACAATCTTTTGTGTTAGTAATAAACAAGTCAGTCATAAACAGGAAAATAAACATGTATTAATAACACACTTTGATTAACATTGTAAGCTATAAAGACAATGAGGGGGGCTTATAATCAGGGTGGGGCTTATATTTGGAATGAGGTGAGCGTTAGTACATGTGGTGGGCTTATACATGGGGGGGGGGGCTTATACACAGGGGCTTATATTCGGAGGTTCACAGTATGTATGGTTTTCAGTGTAGTGTTCCCTTGCTCATCACAAATTAATAAAAAGATCACACACTACATAATTGATGTTGATAAAATTGATTTATTTTAAATAAAAAAAATATTAACATAATATTACTGTACTTAAAGATAATTAAAATGTTTTTAAAAATAAAATTTTATGCGCAAAAGTAAAGAGAAGTTTTTAAAATGTTGCATCACATTGATTTCACCAGTACACATGAATGATATATGATGAAGTATACGAAAGGTGATGCTTTTGCTCTAGAGATATTACATAATTGGTAAGCCTCTTCAATCATAATCATTTGTATGATTGTCTGCAACAGATATGAATTCAATGAATGCTTTATCTTCTTTAAAATATGTCCATTTATGAAGTTTTACTGGGAATTTCTTTGGAGAAGTCGGTTTAATCTGTCTGATAGGCAGGGGTGGAAAAAATAATTTTCTTCCTGCGAGCACAGTAAAAAGATTATAAATTTCCTGCAGACCTGTAGTGTGTAGATTATGACCATGTCAAATATAGCGCTATAAATTGTAGCTACCTGTATAATGCACACGTGATTGGTGATTATGGTTTTAACTAAGGAATGATCATTCGAAAATCTTGTATTGTCGGACTATCTCTTGGTTATTCACAACGCGGACGTTTCGCGAGATTTTCTTGGCGATTCGAACAAACTTGTCGGCATTAAGAACACCTAATAAAATATGTCCTTTCTCTCGAATCTGCATGGCTAAGGATTTCAGATCAGTCAAAAATCTTGTACTTTCAACCATTTCCAAGGCACTTCGCTATAAACGTCTTCCCTGAAACCTTTCACAAGTTGGGTTGTCAAGTCAGCGAGTTTCCTTTCCGCGGCCATGGCGGGGCTTGTGGTGGCATTATCTGCTTCTTGTTGCCGGGCTCTCCTCGTGTTATGAACATGCTGTTCTTCGTGATCCTCTATAATCTGAGTGCCAACAAACTGGCCGTTAAGAATGCCTGGTTTGTTCTTGTGATAATGTGGCCAGAAGCATTTGTCCCTCCCGCAGTTGTGGTGATCTGAAAGGCACTTGACCATTTTCTTCATTTTCTCCATGTGACCTGTAAACTTGTCAAATCGCTGAAATGGTAGCAGGTTCACTTTTTGAACTTCTGAGACCAAGACCCCATACTGTTCATAGATATCCGCCAATCCAGAAATAAGCAGAGAAAAACTCTTGTTCTGGATTTTCACTTGATACTGCTCCGCTTTCTGGGCCTTCTCTCTTTCGCTCGCATCACCGTCATGCATCTCAAATTTCGTATTCTCCACGCAGGCAATGATGGCTGATAGATCAGCCAAAAAGTTTCCATAGACCTTCCGTACAGAATTAGCAAACCTCGTTTCACAAAAGAACTGTGGATTCTGTATAGCTAATTTCAAACGATCACATGCTTCAACTAGCTCCTCGTAGCCTTTTCCCCAGTTGAACAATTTGAAAATAGAGGAAACAGTGTTGGTGATGTTGGAAAGCCACTGGAACTGCTCAAGTTTTCGAAGACGAGTGTTAACAAGGCCACAGCAATGAAGAACGTCCCAGTCATAGTACGTATCTGAATAGTCAATCTCATAATGTGCGTTGACATATTCTGGAACGCCAAGATGAAAATACTGACCATCAAATCCACCACCTTCAAACTGTCCAGCAACAATATAGTTTTGAAGAACATTTGTTATTGATGCAGCAACGTCCTTCCCAGTGTGTTTCTTTACAATTGGATGGTCAAGATAGATGTACTGTATCAACTCTGCGGCATCAGGTACAATCTTACGTAACCAAAAGAACTACCTGACTTGTACGATGCTTCTTTGTATCCTTGTCAGCAATAATTTTAACAGGAGGAAGAAAACCAGTCTGTACAAGAGGTGTACATAAGAATTTTTTAACACGTGCCTTCGTCTCATCTGCGAGGAATGGCAAAATTTCAGCAGGGAACTTACGGGAACTTACGTGAATGGTTGATGTTACCCATATCACAGCCATTGTGACTTTCTAAAGTAACAAGCTGTTCGTACTCACTATACGGCCTAGCAGTCTTATAAAGTAAATAGCTTGTACGGGCACATCTCATGCCAACCTTCCTGTTTCTTGATTCAAACTCTTGCTTTCCAGTCTCAACATCTGTAATCTCTTTTTGTTTCTCGAGGTGGGTTGGAGTTTGAAGGTGGTCAAACAAGTGAGTTTTCAAATTCCGAAACTGTCTTGACATTTTTTCATCGCTCTCAAATGTTTTTTGCGAATCGTTACTATACATAAATACGCCGGTTCTTCCGAGAAAATTTACTTCTTTTGGTTCATTGGGTGGATTACATATGGAACATATAACAACTCCTTCGATGTCGTCATACTCAAACTCTGGAAGCTGAATTAAATCAAAAAGCGATCTAAAAGTAAAAATAAAGTTAAAACTTGAGAAAACATTGGAAAGTATATAGCTACTGTAAAATAATTCACATAACTGATATAAGTCCGTACGTATACAATTAATGCATGGGCACAGGAAACAACTTCAAGTTAGAGAGTTCCCCATTGACATTGTTTAAACTTTAGCGCGGAACTTTGAATTAGAAACGTTGGGGAGTGGATGTACCTCCTATAGTCCTATGCCCCGGTTCCTATAGCTATGTCACTGCTTATTTGATTTAGGGAAAAGCTCACCTTGCTGACTTTCTTTCTGTAACTGTAGGAAGCTCAGACTCCACAGCCACCGTTTCCGGTGAGGGTGTGATGGACAAGCAGGACATGCGATTTTCTAAGTTCTTTACAGTTGTCAGTATTTCGTCAAGCTTAGATGCAACTGAGGATTTGCTTTCTGCGAAATTGTCCTCTCCGGAGGCGCTGAGCGTTACTTTCGCGGTACTTTCGTCGGCTGTATTTTCAAAACCAGGCGGTGTTGAACCAGATGATATTGACATTGACAAGTCGGCCGTTTTAGCAGTTTTGAACAGAGGCTCTTCGTCTACATCACCATGGCCACGTTTCCGTTTGACATTGTTATCTTTGACTTTATTCCCAAATAGTTCTATAAGCGACTTCTGTCCAAGTACTCTTACTTCTGTAGAGTTATGGGCATTTTTCATGTGGTCTTTTAAATTTTGAAGTAGCATCTCTTTTCGACATATGTGACAACTTTCACGTTTGCTTTTACTCGGAAACAGTTTTTTAGACGGGTTCGTAACATTTTCTATGCGTCTATCTGTGCTTTCCAACCGTAACACCTGTTGTTGATCACCCTCTTCGCAAGCTTGCAACTCATTTGAGTCATTTCCACGACAATCTTCAGTAATTTCACCGTCTGAACTTACTTGGCTTGCTTCACTGTCTTCGATACAATCAGTGATATGACTGATATTCTCCATGTTGTTTTTAGAACTTTTCACGCAAGTCAACGCAAGTTTTTAAAGTTTGTTTACTACATCTAGACAATGTCTCATTGTCTAGACTATAGCGCTTGACAGGTTCTATTTTTAGTAGTTCCACAATTAGAACTAGACGTCCAGACCAGTGATTGGGGAAGCCAATTAGAGTCAAAATACAAAAACCTTCCCACTTCCGCTTCTGTAAATTGTTTTATATATTTCTGTAATTTGTTCTATTTTTCTGTAGCGATTACTGCTTTATTTTTACTACGTAGCCCGAGTAAAAATTTCCTGCGACTGGTGAAAACTTTCCTGCGAGCGCCGCTCGCGTGCTCGCCTATTTTTTCCACCCCTGTTATCTCCATTGCATTATAAACTTTATAAATAATAATCTGTTTGATAACGAACGAGTTACCAACGAGTTACCCACGAGTTACCCTAAAAATCAATATACTTTTCACTATAATAGAACGAGTTACCACCAGTTACCACTTAAAAATTTAGAAAAATAAATAATTATTTTTTTCTAATTTTTTTAGTGGTAACTCGTGGTAACTCGTTATATTATGGTAAAAACTATATTGATTTTTAGGGTAACTCGTGGGTAACTCGTGGGTAACTCGTTGGTAACTCGTGCAAAGCACATTCATACATATATATATACTCGAATTCGGAAGAAACTATTCAAAGCAAACAATGTAAGATCTCTGACGGATCTGAAATAGCCCTGACCGTAAACTTCATGTAAAGCATGTTGTTAAAGTAGCAGCATATATAAATTAAAAACAACAACAAAACCTGCAGGAAATCGGAAGCGTTGCAAATGTAAATCATTCTTATTTTGTTTGAACTTCAACAGAACTTTCTACGTAAAAATTCTTTCTGCCATTGATAAAGTCGAGTTTTCTGTTTCGTAAGTACGACGTTCATTTTGTTTGAACAAATTTATCAATTATCGTCTTTTAAGATGCTGTAAAATCCGTATAACAAACGCTTTGTTTACATATTTTTGAACTGCTATATTTGTAAGACATGCTAATATACTAACTGAATATCTAACACTTTTCTGGTTCGCTATGCTTGTAAATTATATAAACTCCACGTTTCAGTTCGAAAATTTAGAAAGATGCAAAATTTTGGCAATGTTTATATCTGCGGGTCCCCTTTGTTATGAGCAGAACTGATGCACAGAACGGACTTTACAGCATCTTTAAATTAATATAATAATTCAAAGTTATTGATTTGGGATTTATCTTGAACCTTTCTGTTTTTATTCAAATTGCAAAAATGATAAGCTTCTGCATGAAGGACGTACAATTTGTTTCTTGCCATGATCAAAAAACTCCAAGAATAATCAATATAAACAGTATTGGAGCACAGTACCTCCCCCCCGCCGCCTCCCGTCCCCCCCCCTTAACACCAGTTTCTTACAAATCCAAACTGTTTGTTTTTCTTACGTTACTTGTATATACTAAGCTAAATGCAGAAAAAACATAATGTCAAAAAAATAAAGAAGACCGAGTACCCTTTCCCAATTTCTCTTAAATTTCAGACAATCCTTCACAAAAATTATGAGACTACCCATGTGAAAGTATAATTTCCTCTCCCCTCCCCCCTACAGAGCAATGTTGCTCGTGATCGAGTTGAAATTGTGTAGCACAATGCTTGCAATAACATTCAACATTGTTTTGAAGGGGGAGGGAGGGGGGTGGGAGGAAGGACGAGCTCCTGAGGGTAAGAGTTTGCTAATTTTACAGATAAATATGCAAGTCTCAATAATTTTTGTGAAGGATTGAGGATATAAATAAGCGGCGTGAAACTTGTAAATTAAAATGGTGACTCTAAGGAGGTGGAAAGAAGCATTTTTTAACGATAAGGTTTGTTGTCCACATCAACGTGGCACGAACAAAACTGCCTTCTTTAACAAGGCAGGTTCAAAACAACATTTATTCATTTTACAAGATTCCGCAAGCCCTCTCGAAATCGTGACCTTCCCATGACACAACGAGGGCCTGCGAATGAGGCAGTTCTCGTAATAAACTAAGAGACTGGGCACGTTGGAAGTTTTATCTAAAATCCAACTAAAATCGGTGACCTCTTGAAAGGACAACTAGTGCCATGTCAGTATTCATAGTCGTTTTCGTTTTCTAAATTTAGCGCGAGTGGCCGTACTACCGGAGTGAAATTATGATTTTGCGGATCGTGTTGATTCGACAGTATGGGCAATTCCAGCTTTTAGTTTATGCATGCAGGGGACGATGGGAAGTAAGGTATCACATTGCTGATTATGCTGAAAAAATAGAAATGGTGGCCGTGTAAACATGGAGTGCTATATAGCTTATACTTGTAAATATTGAAATATTTCGGTTGTTTTTATTGAAATTTTTCAGCACAATCAGCACTATGATACCTTACTTCTCATCACCCCCTGCAGGCATAAACTAAAAGCTGGAATTGCCTATTGGACATGTGTGGAATTTGCCCGTTCACTCAGTGGCGTCGCCAGGGAGGGAACTGGAGGGGACGAGTCCCCCCCCCCAGTTGTTCTAAAGACCAATTTTGAGATTTTTCTAAATCTGAAGAGAAAAGGGGGGGGGGGGTACGATTATTTTAATTTCTAACATTTCTAATGTTTTTTCAATAATGGGTGTGATGAATTAATTTGAGATACGAATTTTGAATTCAATTAACATTGTTTTTGATAACGTAAGGGAGCGGTCATTAATTATTAGGGGGGGAGGGCCGGTAAAATATCTAAAACGAGGGCCCAAAAATGTTGACCCCCTTTCAAATTAGCGCCCAAAAATTTTAGCCCCCCACAAAATAATAGCCCAGAAAATTGTGACCCTCCCCTTCCTTAGAAGGCCTACTCTGGGGCGGTAAATCGCCTTAAATCGCTGCGATATAATGCGATTTTGGGCGATTTTAGGCGATTTAAGGCGATTTACCGCCCCAGAGTAGGCCTCTTAGATAGCTTCCTTCCAATCGGTCAAGCATCAAACAGCGACATAATTTCGTGAATAAAATATGGCTATATAGTATAAAACACTCCTATACATGCATTAAATAGTACATCATTTGAAATCTTTATGTAAATTAGTCTATAGCACTGGCTCGTCCCTTCCATGTCCGGCAAACTCTACCAGATCTTGTGGTCTGCAAAAGGTTGGAAATGTTTTCTTTCTCCTCCTCCTCTTCTCCCGCATCACCTTCATAAATTTGTCCTTCATCGTCGTCGGAATCAATATCATCCTCATCACTTCCAATCTCCTGCACGACAACATCGTCGTCACCAGAATCCTGGTCGTTACTATCTCTGTCATCATCAGAAAGTTGACGGTTATCAGGGACTAGCGACTTTGCTATGTCAAGTGATACGATATCGACTTTTTCTTGCTTTAACGCCCCTTTCGACTGCTTCAAATTTCTCATTGATATATACATGTCCAATACAACAACTTTCAGTTTCTTTATTTTTCCTTCCCTGTAAATAGCTTTCCAGTTGTAATCTTCAAAGGTCTTTCTCTTTTCTTCCAGATTTGCGCGCTTTCTGCTATCTTCCCTCTTTTTTTTCCTTCTTTCTAGTTCGCGAAGATGTTCCAGGTACTGTGTAACCAGCCTTTTTTCCACCACATACTTTTTGCTGAACTCTTCCACGTCGTCATCGTCATTCATATTTCATGTTGGTCCATACTGGGAAACCTCTGGATGTATACCTTACTGTCAACCAATATGTGACTCAGACTGATCACGTATATGTTTTTATACTACAGACCATATATTTGTAAGATTTCCGTTTGTTAGATTTTATTGTACCGCATATTATTGACATGAAACAATGTACACCATATTGCTGAAATTAGCAATGAACTTTACAGGCTCGGCAAGTGAGGAAATATATGAGTATCAACTAGTTGTTATACTTGACATTACATGTATAAAATATGATTTATTATCCTTGGTGAAAGAAATTGTTCTGGTGTTGGTGAAATAAATTTCGTTTTAATTATCTCTGCATGGAAGCCTTCATTCATTATCCGTGTACGGGCCCATTGAATTGGTCATTGAAATATAACTTTTTTACTGAAATAGGTGCCCAAATATTTGTGGCCCTCCCTTCTAGATGGGCACAAAAAAATTTGGCCCTCCCCAAAAGGGGGTCCAAAAAATGGTAGCCCTCCCCCTAAATTTACCGGCCCTCCCCCCCCAATAATTAATGACCGCTCCCTAAAAAGAATAACATTATAACATGAAGTGCAAATACTTCGTCAGCGCAAACCTGAAGTCAAACCTTTGCTTTTGCTCATTGGATTCATATTTTCTTTGGCGCCATTTATGGAAATCATAGATCCTCATAAATGGAAGTGCGCGACCCCTTTACGGAGATCGTCAATGAAGCGAATCGAGCATTAATAGTAAATAATTTGGGTCCTATTAGACCACTTATCGAATTTCCCGTATCAACATCTGGGAAAAGAACCTTCAAGTTCCAATCTCGTTGGTATGACCTCCATTCATGGCTAGAATATTCTGTACTGAAAGATGCAGCATTCTGTTTTAACTGTAGGTGCTTCGGGACACTTGGTAAGTTCACTAATATACAAACTCGTGATATTTACAACTTTCAAGCATTTAGGAATTTAATATGAAGTCTGCTATCACTGTTTTTTAAGAAAATTGCGTTTGAATGTATGATCCTAGGTAGCCCCTAATTAGTAGCAATGTTACGATTGCGATGCATATACAGTATGTAATATCGCAACAGCGACTGAGTAAGTTGGACTACTAGGGTAGGATGTGTCAATATGTTATCTACCGTATTATTCCGTACGTATTTATATAACTGGCGAAGGTAAATAAATAAATAAATAAAGTTTCAATTTATTAAATTTAATAAATTGGGATTAATAACGAGCAACATCCTTTTGCGCCTACTAGACAAAAGGCTTAATAAAACCAAGAAGCGGTTTTGACAGTAAATTAACACTATTTCTACCTTCCAGCAATATTCTAATAGGACTTTTTAAAACATATATGCAGCGGTTTTGACACTATCTGTACCTTCCAGCAATCCGCTATTTTGGGCATATCATACCTCAAGTTACTATATGCAATAACTTGCAATAGTCACATTTCAAACTCAGTTCATTTTAGTCTGACTGTCAGAAAACCGCTCTTTTCGCCACTCATATTTCGCAACACAAAACGATTTGCGTAATTTATCGATGGAGTATAATTTAGACCTAAAACTTAACTTTAGTTGGAAGCTCAGAAGAAACATTCACAAAGACAGGCTTTCGTACATGGAAAAAAGCTTCTGGCGAAAGTGGAAAACTGGCATAACTGAAGCTTCGAAGTTGTTGGCATAACTGAAGCTTCGAAAACTTGTTGGCATAACTGAAGCTTCGAAGACAAGAAAAGAACAAGAACGAGAAGAAAATCGACAGATTGTCCAGACGATTTTTGATGTAGTCCGACATTTGGCGAAGCAAAATACCGCGTTCCGTGGACACACGAGACAAATGATTCACCCAATCGTGGAAACTTCCTGGAAGAACTTTTGTTTCTATCTAAGTATGACAAGCCATTGAAACGTTGGATGGAAACTCACCCAAAGAATTTGTCATATTTTTCTCCCAGTATTCAGAATGAAATGATTGGCA